TCTCTCTCTCTCTCTCTCTCACTTTAACACTTTAAGAAATACAAGGCTTAGGTCCCCAGGGCGTACACTCTTTCTTCTGTCCCTGTCTCTCTCTATGCCTTTGTTTATGCAATTGACTCCAACCCTAGTGATTCAATCCATTTTTATATAGATGGGTCAGCCTTCAAGGGAACTATCAATGCAGGCTTTGGGATAAGAATAGAACATCCTTACAAAACACGTGAAGAACTATTTGATGCTTGTGGTACTTTTTGTACAAATTACGAGGCAGAGGCCATCGTAACTGAAGCAGCAATTCTCTACCTGACAAACATTTTTACTATCCAGACGAAATCAAGGACACTGTTATCTTCAAAGACGGAAAATCAATACTCCAAACTCTGGAAAACATGAATTTCGAAAACCCAGCCTACCTATCTGTGGCTGAAACAATAGGCACCTTCATACCTGTCCCCGCGGTTCTATAAAAAAAAAATCAGAAATTATGCAAACTAAGCCCAAAAATGGGAAATTATGCGATTCTGTTAATTTTAACAAAGAATGTTAAAAGAAAATAGCCAGAAAGTATGCAAAAAATGATCAAATGTTTTAAAATTATGCGGGGTGCATAAAACCACGAGGACAATCATACAGACCTATGTCGTCGACTGACTATACAGTGGATACCTGGTCACAATAACATCCCAGGAAACGACAGAGCAAACACCCTTGCCAAGAAGGGAGCATCACAAACACAACCACACAACCCAGTATCACAACAGACAGCCAAGAACATCATCAAATGCAACACCAGAGAACAGTGGCTGAATGGATGGGCAATAGGCAAAATTGAATAACTGCATTTGCACACATGACAGCTCCCAACTCAAAAGACGCTCTAAATTCGCAGAGTACAAGAGACCAAGTCACTATCTTTCGCCTGCGAACTCAACACATCCCACTGAATTCCTACCTAAAGAGGATCCGCAAGGATACCTCATCCGACTGCCCGTCGTGTAACTGTCAGGATGAAACAGTATCACACCACCTCTTTACCTACCCTGCACTAAGTGACCTGCGCAGTACCTACCTACCCGCATCCCCAGACACTGGAAATACTCTATACAGCTGATAAAAACCTGTAAATTCTTTGCCATATCGGCAGGCCGAAGGGTAAGAAATCAAATGGCCGCTGGATCGGAAAAGTGAAGTAAAGCCCCAAATAGCCTGGAAAGGTGGTAGTGATGGAGACTCCACCAACGGCTCCACCAGTCTGTCTGTCTGTCTGTCTGTCTGTCTGTCTGTCTGTCTGTCTGTCTGTCTGTCTGTCTAACACATCCGTTCTCCACCCACAGCCTGGAGAAGTGGTAGCGGTAGAGACTCCACCTAGCGGCTCCACCAAGCTCTCTCTCCTGCCCAAAGACCTCATGGCGTCCAACCGGTACCCAGGATTGGTTCGTTTTGTATACGGCCACCACCCACCTCGCCTCACGCCCTGCTCAAATATGTTCACACTGATCGACAGTTTTGAGGAGAGCTCACTCATTGGCTGCCTGCTCAACCCAAACCACGCCCTCATGATAGAGCTGCCGATGACGTCATCATTAGGGTTTCAAGTGAGTTTTTGATTGATTTGTAAGAATGTTGAAAATTAGAGTTTAACTTTTTTCTTTTTTTTCTTTTTGTGTTGTTGTTGTTGTTTTGTTGCCGTTGTTGTTGTTGTTGCTGTTGTTGTTGTTGTTGTTGTTGTTGTTGTTGTTGTTGTTGTTGTTGTTGCTGAAGGAGTGAATGAATGAATGGAAGGATGAATGAATGAAATGTTAATTTCTCTTTTACTCATTTTTACATCTTGTTGTTGCTGTTGTTGTTGTTGCTGTTGCTATCATTGTTGCTGCCGCTATTGTTGTTGTTCTGGGAATGTTTTTTGGTGATTTCAGCTTTCATTGTCGTCGCAAATGTTTGTTTTTTTCCCTAGCTTTTACTATTATCGTGTTCTCGTAGGTGAAGTTCATGTAGTTATATTGAGGTAATCATTGTGATGGTAACGGTAATGTTTGTTAGTCGAGTGAGTGGGATTTGTGGTGGGTTGTTTTTTGTGTTTTTTTTTTTGGGGGGGGGGCTTTTGATAGTAAGGGCCTTGACAGACGAGATGTAAAAATCGCAGGAGTAGTTTCTGCGCAATCTGATGATAAACTGTAGACAATGGGAGCGGTCACGCGAGCGACACGCGGTTTTTTTCACTCCTGGTGTAGCAGACGTGTGTCGCCCAAATTCTGCGACCCCACGACACACCAGCGTGTTGTTGAAGCACATAGTTCAAGGGACGCGGACACACAAGACGTATTTACTGGCGGCGCATTCCTGCAAATATTGTGACTTTTTTCGCTTCTCATTCAACACAATATCCCCAGTGCAACCATGTCGTCTTATCACGTAACAGAGCGTTTGATTTTGGAAATAAAGAGCAGAAACATCATTTGGTACACACAGATGAGGAATATAAAAACAAAACAAATAGATAATGATGCTTGGATAGATGTATGCCTAGCGCTCAGACCAGAATACAATGAGGCAAGTGATTTAAGAATTTGGACTCATCTTCTTGAAGTTCTTCACAAAAGGTGCTAAACTGTCCAGCTTAGTAGTCCATGAGAAACAATAGGCTGAACCCAAAATCTTCCAAATTGTTGCTTTCTTTTTTTTTAAAAAGATTCTTTTCATCACCTTGACCAAAAGCCGCCCTGACTCTCCGATCGTCCATGTTGAAGTGAGCAGTTACTGTAGCGTTAAATGTCGCCCCGTGTGGCTGCCACACAAAGGCAAGCGACACACTACGCAGAGGTTTCTACGCGACAATTGTAGCTCGTCTGTCAAGGCCCTTAGCAGTACGAACAAAGAACGCATCACTTCTAAAGGATAACATTTTAATTTACGGTATGAACCAGCTATTAATATACCTTTAGCTGGAATTTAAGAAAAAAGAAAAATTAAATAATACAAACAGACAAAAAGAACATTACAACTAGGTGCAAACAAAATAATAAACAAACAGACTCATTTTAACCTTTTATTGAGACTTAAGTGTTAACATTGTTCAAAAGTTACTCAAACAATAAGGCCCAGAGAATGTTAGTTTTTTCATTGCAGTAAAAAAAAAACCGCCAACATTTTCATACGTCGACGTGGGTGAAGTTTTATTTCAGTGACAACACAGACACACAAATGACCCTTAATGTAATGTAAAAATGCGCGGTAGTGTTTTTGTTGTGTTATTTAACATTACTGTGTGCTTTTTTTTGTTAAGTGTTTTACGGCGCTCGCAACTGCATAAGGTCATATGAGCGCGCGGGACACACTAATACTTTCAGTTGGTAGGAAAATTTGAATTTTGCCCGAGTGGCGGCCGAAGCTTACTCTTATCGATTTTAGACCGCCAAGGGATCTTTAGCGTGCGCAATTTGCACACGGGCCCTCCGAGATTTTTCGCCCTTGCCCGAGAAGGCTAGGAGTAGATCTTTCCTACCAGAAGATCAGGGGTGTGGCAGAAAGACAGTTGTAAGAAGGAATCAAGGAGTAGCAGTAGAAAGGCTGCAGAAAGAGTCAGGAGCCCAGAGGAGGGGGCAAAGGAGGTGATGGGGTGGGGGCAGAAAGAGGAGACGAAAGTAGACGACAGAATATTGCTAGAGAGCAAGAAAGGGAGTGAAAGAAGATAATTTTAGGGGAAGAAAATGTTTCGGTCGCTACCCGGATTCGAACCCGGGACCTTTGAATGAGAGGCCAACACCTTTACCTCTAGGCCACGAGAGCCCCCTACTGTGTGCGCATGGGGAACAAAGGACAAAGAAAAAAAGAAGTAAAAAAACTACGATGGTTAAGGTATTAAATTAATAATCAGAGAACAGAACAAACTACTGTGACTTAAACAAGGCTTACACACACACACACACACACACACACACACACACACACACACACACACACACACACACACACATATATATATATATACACACACTCTCACATACACACACACGTACACACAGATACACCCACTCGCACACCCACATGTATACACACATACACACTTACATTAATACGCACGCACACACACACACACACACACACACACACACACTTGTGCACACACACACTAACACACTCACACACATACACACACCCTCTCGCGTGCGTGCACACACACACACACACACACACACACACACACACACACACATACACACATACACACATACACACACACACACACTCACACACACATACACATATACAAAAATAAATAACACAATTATGAACTTAATAAGTGAATGAATCAGTGAGAATGTCACTGGTACTTTCTTTTACATCATCAGGTGGCTCTGAACAAAGATGAGTTGTTGGACATGCACGTACCTCGTCAAGCCCTGGAAGTAGTGCAAAAGCGCAGTGATACATTCATGCGGGACCTGAAGCTGAAGTGTAAGTTCCTCCATCGAGTGAGCCCGGCCTTGTCTCCGAACTTCATGGCACAAGAAGGCGAGGACGACATGCTGAGTGCCACTCTCAGGACCAGACAGTTTGCAAATGAAGCTTTTTTCTATTTATAGAATTCGTTTAGGTTATATATAATGATAATATAAGGCATTTATTTAGCGCCCTACCCGGCTCTGAGCGCTTTACTATACAACAGCAGCATAATTATAATTATACAATGTGTTTAGAACCAAAGAAAATATCTCTCTAAATATTAAACATTATCTCTTTAATCTAGAAAAACAGAAATGATTTTAGTCGACATTTGAATGAATTAATGGATTTGATCAGCTGACATTTGAATGGATTAAAAGATATTATGATGTCTCTTAAACTACTGGGCAAAGCATCCCAGATCTTGAGGCCTAGATATCTAGATATTCAAACGGCCTTTCAACAATTGGTTTAAGTTTCACAGATGGTAGAACACATTTCTCTTGGTCAACTGATGACTTTAAACAGCGACACGCGCGCGCGCGCGCGCACACACACACACACACACAGACACACACACACACACACACACATATACATACATGCACATGCACATGCACACGCACTCACAGTTCTATTTATAGACTCCGATAAAGCAAAGCTTGCTTGGTGTATTCAGAGCGTAAAAATCCAAAGGCCGAATTAATGTATTGGTCATAAATCCTCAACTATTCTGCTATAAACGTTGAGGTGCAACAGCCTCGGATACATTGCCTCCACTAGACTCAGTACTGGACTGTTGTGTATAGTATACAGATCAATGCACCGGGGGATAAATATCAAATGTATTGATCCTGCGTCTACAGCTCTCTGTTTGCGTAGTGTAAGTTCACAGTATTTACGGGCTCTCCTAAGTTCTGACTTGGGAATCAAAACCTTCAAACGAAAGGCTGGAAACAAAGACTTATTCTATCAACTACGCTAAGTGGAGATGATTTTACTGTTAACGTTTCCAGAAACTTTACCGGTAACGGTAAAAGAGCAATACAGGTCGACCCTACTATTAAGTTAAAAGCATCTTTTTGCATGATGTCACAGCAAGCATGATATTAAATGGAGAAAGAAAACCCTACATGTGCATACTGAGGGTAGTAAGTTCAGAATGGGGTGCTAAAGTTTACTGTACTTACATTGGCAAAAACATGTTGCTTTGCCAGCGGAGAAAACTAATACTCCTGTTACTTTTTGTAGACAGGTCGGATTTTCCAGTTGCTATTTGTCTGTCAAGAAAAGCAATGCATTATTGGGCCTTCCTTTGGTAACGGTATCGGTCAACTTGTGAAAATTGTGAAATGGTATGGGTTTAACGCCCCTATCAAC